TCTGAAACCTAGTGTTTACTTTTGCTAATTTTGAACTGTATTTAAATAGATTCAAGCGCGTATTTTGTAGCTAGCTGTTCTTCCACATGTTTGTGAGATTCATGCCTGCTGTAGTATGCAGTTGGAGTGCATTCATTTTCATTGTAGTTCAACAGACAAAAATACCACAATTTATCCATTCCAATGTTGCTAGACATGTGTTCAGATTGTTTCCTGTTATTTTTACTATGCCTACATTGTAAAACATTCTTGTGTCTCCTGCAGTGCCCAGGAGTGGAAACTCTGTGTTGAGTATGCATATGTTTACTGGTTAATACCACGCTTTCCAAAGAGGTTGTACAAACAATAATGTTGAATGTTTGGAATTACACGACAGAATTATAAGCATATCTTCTTGGCTGTGATTTTCTGAATTTTTAATGTTTTCCAATTTTATTTTATTTTTTTGCTACTGGGGATCAGACTTAGGACCTTGCACTTGCAAGGAAGGCAGCAGCACCACTGAGCTAAATCCCTGGCCCAAGTTTTCCAATTTTAATCAGAAGAAAGCCAGTTCACATAGATATAAGTGAGTGTGTGTATCCACAAAAAAGCAAAGGTGACAGACTGATTTAATGATGACATCTCATATCTTCAATTGTATTCAACAAAAGTCAAAATTGGCCACAAGCTATTATTCTGTCTAAATGAAAAACTAATATACTATGTTATACCAGTTTGCACTCCAACCTCCTATGTACCAAGGAGACTTTTTTTATATAAAGCAATGTCAACAAGAATGTGGTGAATCTATCGGTTCAAGATAAATTATGTAATAAAAAGCTAACTATAAAAATATACATATTGGCCCAGGGATTTAGCTCAGTGGTTCCATTGCCTGCCTCATAAGTGCAAACAAAAAAAAATTATTTTTTTTTGGTACCAGGGATCAAACTCTGGTCCTTGTTCTTGCAAGGTAGGTGGCAGAACCACTGATCTAAATCCCTGGCCCTAAAATCCATTATTCTTTTTATTTGGTTATTTTTTTTTTTTGAGACAGGGTCTCACTATGTAGTTGAGTCTGACCTGGAACTCACTATGTAGCCGAGGCTGGTCTCGAACTCATAGCGATCCTCTTGCCTCAGCCTCCCGAATGCTGGGATTACAGGTGTGCGACACAATGCCCAGCAAACACTTGTGTTTTGATTAGACAAAGCTATACATACATAAAGGATAATGTTTATAAATTATGGATATGCCTCAAACTATTAGGAGCAGAATTGAAATTACTGAGGAATCAGATGTGTTTTTGTTGTTTTAATTTTGTGTAGTCAGTTCTAATGTTTACACTTACTGTTTGAATCTGTTACAAAGAATTTCCTACTTTTGGAAATACCAATCCAATAAAGATAAAAATTGAGAGTGAAGCTGGAATATGAATACTTTTAACTTAATAAAAACTTTTCTTTTTCTCTAGTTTGATCACCTCTGTGTGCCCTAAATAATACATTATTAGCTTAGTTTGTTTTTAAATTTGGGAACTTTTCTAAAAAATAAAAATGAAGCCAAAATAATCAACTGTTTTAAGTTCATTTCATATTGTGGGCTGAGCAACTTCTAGAAAGACTATTTTAACTATAGTTCTAGAAACCTAACAGAGAAATCTTTCAAGATTTCCAAATCTTTGGGTTTTACAAAAAGTGATGAAAAGTAGGGATGTTATTTCACGTTTGCAAAATGTTAAAGAGAATAAAAACCAGTAAAAAACTATCATAAGCAAAGTGGCTAATTTTTAAAAATACATTTTTAATGAAATGTAAATGACCAACTTACATCTATTGGCAGTGATTCATCTTCTTTTTCTGTTAATCGCATATAAGAACGATCTATAAACCAGAAGAATACCATTAAGGAAAATGTAGCCCATTTTTCTTTCTTAAAATGCAAGCAAATCAATATACCATAGTGGCTAAATTAGACACTATATAAAGTAATGGTAATCCCAGAACCCTCAAAACCTCTATATTCCAGGGCAGGCAGCCTTAACAAACTACAGGTATTTTATTTTCATCATGATGTTCTTTGTCACCTTGTCAAGGTGGGTAAGAGCAATAGATGTGTAAGTATGAGGCAGAAATACCTAAGCCTAATTTCTCTTTCATTACTACAGTAAAACCAGAAACTTCTGAAACTTTTCACTAAGTCGTCAAAGAAATCAAAATTATTTAAAAATTAGTAACTCTACCGAAAACTCTAATTGTGAATAGCACTGCCACCATAAAGTGACGAGAAAGTAATACCATGTGGAAATGTTTCTCTTGAATTAGGGTTTTCTGTCTCACTACACAGTTCAGGCTGGCTTTGAACTCACTATGTAGCCCAGGCTGGTCTCGAACTCATGGCGATCCCCCAGTCTCAGTTTCCGAGGTCTGGGATGACAAGTGTGCACCACCATGCCCAGCACTTATATATTTTTAAGACGTCTATATTGCTTTATTGTGATTATCTCTTAAGCCATTTGTTTTTCCACTAGCCTATGAACTCCATTAAGGCATCACTTGTAACCGTAGCATCTACCCTCAGTACAACTTCAACCAATTACAGGAAACTGGATTTTATAAGGTAGTGTAGTACATGACTTTTGCCCAAGGTCACACAGATTTAATGTTTAATCAAGTTTTTAAAAATCAGGCCTACAGATTCGCTGTCCAGTGCTCTTTCCTCAGACAGCATCACAGTTCTTCCTTGAGGCAATCGGTCCCTTAACATTTCAGTTACTGCCTGGATAGCCCAGGAGTATTCAAAATACTGTCCATCTAGTTGTCGTGAGGCCAAGAACTAAGGCCTTAAATTTCACGCTTTGCCTGATCTGATCTGTGCTGATCTGGCATCCCTTGTCCTGGATTCCTGGACAGACTCCGCTTTTAATCCTTTCCCAGACGTCCCTCCCTACTTTCTTGCAATCTCAGGTGCCCCACACCCCGCAAACTACAAACCCTGCACCGCTATTCGGAGCCACCCGAAGCTGTAAGGTCCCAAGGGACCATCCCTCGGACCCTCCGTCGGACAGTCCCTTAGGGCTGAGCCCATCCATACACAGCCCCGGCTCCCAATAAAGAGGTCCCCGTCGCTCGGGCACTTACGCTGCGCAGCGGAAAAGGCGGCGTGTGCCAGGGCAAAGAGGCCGATGCCTACTAGCCCCTTCCATAGCGATGGCGCCATGATTCGGAAGGAGCAGCAGGCCAACAAAAGAGGCGAAGGGCGACGGAATTGCTCCCTCTCTACCGGCGGGTGTCTGCGCGGCGCAGAGCGATGGCGTCACTGAAGCCCCGGGCGCGAAACACCTCAGTGGTGCAGAACCCAGAGCGCACTAAGAAGGCGGAAACAGGAATGCCGGGAAGAGGGGGAAAGCTACACAGAGAAAGATCCGCCACGGCCTCTGAGGCTGCTCTGCACAACCTCTCCGTGAAGGGCGGAGCTGAGCACAGTGCGTAAAAACGAGAAAGCAGGACCAATGGGGAAGTGAAGAAGGGAGCCAGACAATGAACACGGGCCGCGGTGAAGGGGCGGAGCCCAGGGGGTAGCCGGAGCTCAGTCGTGGTTGGCGGACAGCTGGAGGAGGTGGTGAAAGGTGCTAGTTGCTGGGTTCACGCCTCTGACAATCATTTTTTTTTGATTGGTTGGATTTAGTTTTTCTTCAAGTTCTGTCCCTTGTTTTCTTTAGGTCTTTCTATGCCTCTGCCTTCTGCGTATTGACACTGCGGAAGGAGGCAAGGGTGTTACATCGATGAAGCAGGTGGACTCTCTAGGACAGCAACCCGGGCTTTGGAGTTCAAACACTGGGCGCACAGGAGCGGATCAGTAAATGTCGGTCCCTTCCCCTTCCCATAAAAAGGCCTTGGAAGGAGATTCGCGCCAGAAGGAAGTGCATCGCTGCAGGACAGTTTAAACTTGAAGAGTAGCAGCTTACATTAAGGAAAAACGGAAAGAGAGAAAAAGGGATGTTAACAATGTTGTCTCAGTGCTCTCTCTCTCTCTCTCTCTCTCACACACACACACACACACACACACACACACACAGCCCAGGATAAAAATGTACTCTCCATTATTCTTGGTCTTTATCCCTAAAATGACATTTAATAGTGAGTGTCTCCCTTTGACCTCTTTTCGCTATTCATCCCCACTTCAACCAACATAGATATTACATGATTCCAAATCCACATCTCATTTCTATCTGCATGATATCTGCTTAGCTCGTAATCTGTATTTCCAATCAGCAGTTGGATGTAGTTGCATGTATGTGGTCCTGTGGCACTCAAATTTATATGGTCTTTTTTTTTTTTTTTTTTTTTTTTTTTTTTTTTTTTTTTTTTTTTTTTTTTTTTTTTTTTTTTTTTTTTTTTTTTTTTTTTTTTTTTAGTTCTGGAAATAACTCGTCCAGTGCCCCCTGGCTGAGTGGCTCAGCATTGTAAACTGTATCAGAAGGTAATTGCAAAGTATGATTACCATTCTTTCCCTTCAACCCCATGGGAATTATATGTTTTCAGTTACATCAATTTGCTCACCCTTACTTGCTCAAAGATGCCTATCTTTACCACTCCTTTGAAATTTGCAATATCCTCAGGTATGATCCCCTTAGCCTGTTCTGCTTTTGTGTCACCTTCTAACCTGCTATATAATCTATTGTCTACTGTCTCTCTTCCCCTACTGAAATGTAAGTTCCAAGAGGACAGATTTCTTTGTTCCTAGAATATTGTCACTTGGTAAGCATTCAAAATGTTTGCTAAATGAGGAATGAACAAATGGAAAAGAAGTAGGAGGGATGTATCTCTGAGAGGATCTCTCCAGAGAGTTCCTCCATTATTTTGAGTTGAGTTCAGAAATCTCTGTGGACTTCTGATATACTGTTCCCGAGTGTCTTTAAACCTGGGGGGGGGGACTAGAAAATAACAAAGATATCCAAGATTCAGCATACTGTATCCACTTTACCTATACAATTTTTGTCTTGGATTCCAAACTTAAGTTATGGTCATCATTTTTCTCTGAGCCCTTTCCAATGTCTTCACCCATAAACAAAGATTTTAAATAGTACTTAACCGATGTCAAGTGTGGTATAACGTATTCCTTACAAATGCGGTCCTCTTTATAAGCTCACAATCAGGAAGATCCAACATGTAGAGCCTGTATATTTCACAGAAAAACACTTCCTTCTCCACCCTTGGGAGTTGACAAGATAGAAAAGATACTTTTAAAAAATGCTTTAGGTTGGATTAAAGTTCAATTTGAAATTAGACTTTCAGGTACCCTATTAAATTACCTGTTCTAATATCAATTTAACCAAAGCAGTAAATGATTTAAAAGAATTCTTAAAAGATCTGTGATCCAGTTTCTTTCTTTTAAAAATATGGAGTTACAGAAAAGTAGGCCAGTAAGGAATCTGGCATTTATTTGTATAAGCTATCAATGCATTATCCTAGTCTTCAAGGACTTATGTTCAGGCACTGAGTTTTGTTTTCTCTATTGTCCTCTTAAGATGTATTCCCACTCTTTTTTAACCTCTTACTCAGTTATGTTTATGGATCAGGATTTTAATTGTCATATCTGTCAATTCTAACCCGAAGAGGAGCCAACTTATTTATAATGAGAATTATCAAAGACTGGATCATTCAAATAACTTCCTCGAGTCCACTCACACGTGGTTCTGAAGGTTGGAGTTAATCCCAAAAGTGTAAGGTACAGCTCTTGGAAGCATTCTTTTTGATGAGCTCTTAGAACAAAAGTCAAACCTTGTGAGAAAGAGTACTTAAGTGAGACTAGTCATGTTGGCCCCTGTAATCCCAGCACTCCAGAGGATGAGGCAGAAAGATTGAAGTAAGTTTGAGGCTGGCCCGGGTTATATAGTGAGTTCAAGGGCTCCCTGAACTGCATAACAAGCAAGATTCTGTTCATCCTCCCAAAAAATATAAAAAAATAAATTCCTAAGTGACCGCAGAAATGCCTTTAGTTTTCCCAAATAAACAGCCACTCTCTGTATGCACTGAGGATAAATGATACAGATATTATTGAAGGTAGGGATCCTGATCTCTAAAGTATTTCCTGCAGGGAGGTTATTTGTGAAGACATGTCAGTTTCCCAGGAAATCTGCTCAATAGAGAAAACACAGCTGATCCAAAACTTCTTTTGAGTTCATTTACTTTGTTTTATGCAACAAATTAGATGAATATTTTCATGCACTACTCATTCTTGTCTCCATTTCTCGTGTAGATTCTCCATCTGCCACATTCTGTCCTTTCCTACCTAGTTCAAAAATCCACTTTCCCTAGGGATATGTTCCTGACTATTATAGGTATCTATAAGAGGTATAAATTATTGTAGGTATTAAACCTTTCTTCAGGCTATTTATATTTAGAGCACCCTCTCTGGGTTATAGATTCTGGAAGTTGACCACTTGCTGGGAGAACTAGTATTTTCAGTGTTGAAATTGCATCTTTATTTTTTTCTTTGCAAAAGTGACGTGTGCTCATAAGAAATTCAGGCAACAAAAATGTATTCCTCTTAAAGCATTAAAGTGGTGCCTTGGTATTTGGAGTTCTGAATTGTAGTAAATCTGTGGTTACTTGATTCATTTGTTTAAATTTTGTTTGTTTGCTAGGTGTTTTATGTTACAGTGGTTAAAATTGTTTGCTCTGGAGTCAAATAGCGTTTGAATCTTGGCTTTTCCTTTTCCACCACTGAGGTACTAGAGAAGTTATTTAACTTCACTGTGCCCCAGTTTCCTCGTCTGTAAATTGAGGATATTAATAGTGCTTATTTGATAAGGTTGTTGTCAGGATTGAGGGAGACAACACATACAAAGTGTTTAGAATAGCCTCACACAGTTAGTACTCAGTCCATTATTGTTATTGACTCCTTTTTTTCTTCTTTTTCCAAACTGAAGAGATTCCTTATACCTTCAGTCTTTCTTAAAACAGCAATTTGTTGTCTCTTTGATTACTTCAGTTGCACTTCTCTGGACCACTGCCAGATCTAGTATCACTTAGAGTTTCATTACCACATCTACACAAAATATCCTAAGTTACTTGTTTGAGGCTAACCTGATCATTCATTTTTAAGAGCCTTCCTAATGCCACTGAATATCTTCTTATTTGCATTTTTAACATATTGGGTTGGTCTATTAAGGAAATAAACCCTTGAAAATTCCAGCATCCTTATGCTGGGTTCTAACATGTACCTGTGACCTAATCTCAATTTTATTTGAATATAGACATTCCCTATACTGCTGCCTGAGCACTAAATCTCTTTTAGTTTATACTTGAGTTGATTGTATGCATGCAGAGGAATTTAATGCCATCTGCAAACATGAAGAGTTCCTTGAAACTCTGAAATTTTGGGATTTATTAAGGCTCGGCTATGTTTCAATGGTCAAACTTTTCTGCTCAATGGTATCACTAAAGGACTAAGTGATAACTAGTTCTGCTCTCGAGGTGCTTGTGAGGTGCTTGGAATAACATGAGTCCAACATAATGCATGAGGAGGCCTAGAATAGGGACTTTTTCAGAGGCCCCTGGGAGCCCTAAGGAAGAGGAGTCCCTAATGCAGTCTGAAAGCATCCTGGAAAGTTTGTGGACCTTTAATCTGAGTTTTGTCAGACAAACGGAAGCTCATTTGGCAAGAAAGGAGTTGAAGGTCTATCCAAACAGAAGGAGCAAATGGGACTCCACATGGATTGTATGAAACCATGTGAAGCATTCAGGGAGGTACAAAGAGTTCAGAATGGCCAAAGTAAACTATATCGGAGGTACAAAGAGGGAGTTCAGGAGGCAGTCTGGAGCCAGACGTGTGGAGCATTGTGTGCCAGGCTAAGGGGATAACACTGAAAGTAGTCAGGGCTCCTGGAGGCTATAGAGCAGGGGTATGATGTTTATAAACAGATCTGTGTTTCAGAAATCACCCTCTCATCAAAGGGTAGAGGAATGATTGACGGAGACTAACATAGAGGTCTGCATACCTTTCCAGAAAGGCCAGATGGTAAATATTTCAGGCTTTGCAGTCTTCCAGGTCTCTGGAAATCATTCAGTTCTGCCCTTGTAGGAGAAAAACAGGCAAAATCAATAAGTAGACAAATGGGCAGGGCTGTGTCCGATAAGCTATTAATGATGGACACTGAAATTTCAGTTTTACATAATTTTTATGTGTCAAAATCTTGCTCCAGCCCTTAAAGATGTAAAATCTTTTTAGCTTCAGGCCATGCAAAAACAGGTGGGGGCTGCATTTAGTCCTTGGGCTGTGGTCTGATCTTTGAGTGCAGAGAAGATGGACAATTCTTTTGAGAAGCTTCTTTCTCAAGGGGAGGGGAAAATAGTACAGTAGAGACGGGGAAAGGCTGTTCGCTGTTCATCAGAAGTGCTCTGAAACTGTTTAGGCAGAGCCAAAAGGGAGAGGGGAGGAGTCACGGAAGCTGGAGGGGCAGAGTGATAACTGAAGCAGATGCTGGCAGAGGCAGGAAAGAAGTGATAGAATACAGAGTATAAGTTGAGGAATACGCTTTCAAAAGGAAGAGAAATACCTCTTCCAGTGAAGCTGGTGGGAAGTGGGATGGACGGACACTGATGGAACATTTGACTAGATGGCAGAGTACGACTGTCCCATAATGCTAAGATTTCCGCTGGAAAGGAAGTAAGGCTAGAATTCCAGGTGAGTTTGCCGTAGTCATTCAAGATGATGACATAGCTGGGAGGGGACCAGAGAGAAGGAGGAAGCCTGTGAACTAGATGTCTAAGTAGTCTGAGAATGTGTGGGAGTGACCAGAAAGTCAGTAGATGTTGAAAACTAGGAAAGAAGTTGCCAGAACTTCCACAAAGGTGGAGGAGTAATGGGTTCCCTCCATGGGGAGAGAGCAAAGTGCCAGGTCCTCATTCAGGCCACACCATGCAGGGTGATACTGGGTGTATTGTGTGCCTGTGCCTGCTGGAAGGTGGGTTGGTAACAAAATGAACTGCCTCCATGGAACCAGCTTCAGAGCGTGTGAGGTCCTGGAAGTGTGGGTACTGGTAAAGGGAAGGCTTGGAGAGGCCGTCGATGCAGCAACTGAGGGGTGGTTTGTTCACAAGGGAGGATATTCCAGAGAGCTGAGACCAGACTGACAGAGGGGCAGGCTCACTGTGAGAGGAGATAGTGGGAGATGGGAATGAAACCTATGGAGCAATATTGGGCTGAGAAAGAAGCACATTCTGAGGGGAGCTGAGGGCTCATGGGGATTAGTTGCCTGGCCTCCTCTCAGTATTCCCCCTGGAATTCTGATATAAAGAAGCTGCCAAGAGAGCATACTGAATTGCTGGGGCCACATAAACAGATAGAATCTGGGCCTTCAAGACATCTGCTGACTGTGGCCAGCGAAGCAAATCTGTATTTGTTTTCTCCAAGTTCCAAACAAAGAGAAAAAAGTAGCTTTGTGTTGAGTGCTCAAGCCGGAGAAGCAGGTAAGCTATTTCATTAGGTCTTCTTCCAAGGGGTCCAAACAGGTCTGAGGAGAGGACAGTGGGAAGCCTAGGAAGGCATCTCACCTGAGTGTCTTCCCCCTTCAAAGCCCATCCCTATGTGAACAGGGCAGCATGCTTACACTGGAGTCAGGGTATAAGGACAGGCAGCTGTGAGGCTTCCTGGGAAGACACACAGGCTAAGGTACTAGCAGAAGAGAATGGGCACACAGTCTCTGTCTCTATTCTGGAACACTTCCTGACCTCACGGGGCCAGAACTTGCAGCAGAACACCATTCAGAGTTTGGTGTTTGTTTGTTTTTGTTTTTTCTCACCATCCTCACAGAACTTAAAGAGCTGGTTAGTGGAGGTAAATCCACCGCACTAGGGAATGTGGTGTTGCCTGAGTGTTGTTTTGGCAAGGAAGGTATATAGCCCTGAGATGAAAACATTTGAGAACCATGAATTCTGGACAAAATGATAGGAATTGGATTGGTAGTGTCCTTAGATGGCGCCTGAGGAGTTCCTCCTAAAGAGGAGATGGGGAACTCAGCTCAGCCTGCCAAGTAGGTTCTTGACTCTTGTCACAGAAAAAGAACTTCAGGATATGTCAGTGAGAGGCTTAGAAGGGTTTTATTAGGCGGAATTAAAGAAGTACACACTCAGAAGAGTGTAGGCCCTTGAGAGAAAGCTGCACTATAGTCTGGGGTTGGGAATCTGTATGTGTGTATGCGTGTGTGTGCGTGTGTGTGTTCATGTTCTTGGAAGTATCCTTTAAGATGGGTGATCTAAGAAGTTTTTCTTAAAAACACTCTTTGAACACTTTGAATCAGTTTCTTCATCTTAGGGTCAGGTTGCTATCTTTTACCTTATCAACTAGGCTTATACTATCTTTAAGGAATTTGGGTGTGATGGGTTTAGAAGGGAAAAAGAAAAATAAGCCTGTGGAATACACATATGGATAGCCTTGGGTAACTTTGCATATTGAAGTTGCAGTCTTCTTCAAACTACAAATTTTAAATTGTGACTTTTGTCTCCTTTTTTTGGTAACAATGGTGGTATGAGGAGTTTGAGAAAGGATACCATATACATTAGGAAGACAAGAATGAGCTTATTTCAACCACTTTTTAGTTGCTCAATACTCAACAGATAGAGGCTTGAAGGCGGGATGGCAAGCCAGGGCTTGAGATTTGTAGCTTACTCTTGTAACAAAAGTTTAGAGAAAACAAAGAGCCCACACAAATGAAGGAGTGATCTGAGAGGTACTGGAAAAAAGTACAGGAATTTACTGTTCTCTAATACAAAGTTCAAGTATGGAGCGTTGTGAAAATTCAGGTGTGTAAATTGGCTGAGAGACTGAGAACAGAGAAAATATTCTTGGAAAAAGAGATGAGAGACAGAGTTCAAAGGTGACTCTGGAGCTGGGGACATTTGCTTTAACACAACAGTAAAAAGTAACAAGATGAGAGAAAGAAACTCCCCACCGCTAAAGATTTCTTCTTTGGGAGAGTCGTGCAGTGCTCCTGAACACTGGTACATCTGAGCACAAACCGACTGAATCTTCTTTGTGAGATTAATGAGTTTCTGCACAGGTTCCTGATGTGACAGATGGCATATGTCAAGTGTGTACATGTAAAGAAAACCAAATATACAGACACAGGCATGATCCACGCCTTGGAGTCGTTTCTTTTACAAACTACTACGGTGCTTTTTGTTTTGTTTTGTTTTGTGTTTTTCTTTTTAAATGAGGACAGAACAAGGGGAATCCGGTTTAAATTACAGAGATGAAGATTGAGGCCACTCCCAAGGGGACAACTTCTTAGCCTGTGAGGAGACTCTGGGGGACTATATTGAGATGGGCCATGAAAGATCCATTCCCCTGAGAATAGGATGAAATAGACGGAGTTCTATCTACCTCTGCTTCGTTACACAGAGCTGAGGTTTCTTTAGCAGGGGGTAGGGGACTAGATTCGCCGGCCTTTCACTTCCTAGCCGCGCCCCGGGGTGCCCGGAAGGGCCCAGGAAGCCAGCCTGCGAGCGGAGGCTGCTACGGCCCCTTTAAGAGGGGCGGTGGCGCGCTCCGAAAGCTTCCCTCTGGCCCCGCAAAAAACCGGGGCTTCGGACGGTGCCGGCGAAGCGACAAGAGTCATGGACGAGGAGATCGTGTCCGAGAAGCAAGCGGAGGAGAGCCACCGGCAGGACAGCGCCAATCTGCTCATCTTCATCCTGCTGCTCACCCTCACCATTCTCACGATCTGGCTCTTCAAGCACCGCCGGGCCCGCTTCCTGCATGAGACCGGCCTGGCTATGATTTATGGCAAGTGCAAGTGCCGTAACCCCTGGCCGCCCCCTGGCACTGTCCCTTTCTCTGCCCGCCGGCTGCTTCGCCTCCTCTCCTAACCCTGATCGGCCTGCATTGGGCTCCCTTTCTGATTCCCCTCATTTTCTGCTTCGCCTTACCGCCCTCACTCCCGCGCCCGTTTCTCTGTCTTGTCTCCCCTTTATTTCTGCTACGCCCCCCCGTTTCTATACCTCACCCCCTTTAGTCCCCCATTTTCACGGCCTCTCCACACTTTTTTTTTTTGCCTCCAACCCCACCCCCTTTCTCCATCCTACTCTCCCTTCTATGCCTAGGGATCTCGGACCCGACCCGGGTCTAGAATGGGAAGGGAGTGGGTGCGGTGTCTCAAATTGGGCTGGCGGAGGGGAAGACATTGCGATCTATTTCGCTGGGGTGTCAGTTTGTTTAAGGTTCATCGAAGCTGCAGTAGCACCTCTGCTGCCCAGCGTTTGTCATTCTTTAGGAAGTCGACCTTTATACATTACCCAGCTCTTGCTATGCCTTGTCCTGTGGAGGTTGAAAATGAAAACCTTACTCCTGTGGAGCCTAAGCAAAATAAAAATCTGAACGTGGCATAGGCTTGGGGCATTTTAAATGACGCCCTGATTTTCTGTACTGCGTTTGGAATATCCGATGTGGATACATATGAGTGACCCTTCCCGTTCAGGTTTACAGAAGTGAGGACAGGGAAGAGTTATGGTTCTCCCAGCAATGTGTTGTACTATATCCACGATGATCGGGGACAGGTCAACCCTGCGGTAATTATCAAGCACCATGCATATGCAGTCTGGGTGTCTTGCTGTTAGCTGATTGAGTAAATGGCTCCAGTTCTTGAGTCTCAGGGAGCTTTTTTTAAGGTTATTTATTTATTTGAGTTTTTGGTGATGAGGCACAAAGGGTAAATCAAACCACGGGCTCAGAAGCATTTTGAGCCATGCTTGTTTGGGCCTCAAGGGGGGAAAAATAGATACATATTGCTGACTGTCTTAAACCTTGAGAGTATGCCTGAAGAGACCAGGGCAGAAAAAGCAATCCTGCCTGTGGAGTACATGTGTGAAGATCATCTTCATGTAGAACAGTCTTGAACAGTTGAGCTTGTTGAGATTTGATTCTGAGACTGGTGGATAGGTAGATGAAGCTTTGGCACAAAAAGACTTTTCTCAATAAGACTTCCCCATCCCACCCCCCTTCCAGTAAATCCAGACTTCTAGAATGTGCATGGATCTCAGGGGTATGGAGGAAAGGTACAGTAGTTGTGTGCCTCCGGAAGATGCATGAGCTCAGGCTGATTTCTCATTTTTAAGGTAATAAAATACTAAGCCTGTGTGTAAAATCTCCCTGCTCAATACTAATGGTTCTTTTTTTTTTCATAATTTTTGTATTTCATTTGCAGTTCTCTTACTGCAGATTGGCCAGATATACTATTCCGTTTTATATATTTTCTCTGTGTGAGAGTGTGATTTATGCACTGTCCTCAACAAACATTTACTGTTCAGTCTAGTAAGCATTAATGTAAGACCTTTGCCCTACAGATAAGTCATAAGGGAAACCTTAAAGGGAAAAGTGGCATTTTAGATTTGGTTAAATGCTAAAATAAGGGACTGATCACAGATACCTGTTTTCCATAGAGAAAGATGACATGTGGTACTTAAAGGTCAGCATATTTTTCAGGAAAGGGCCTGTGATAAAGATTATTGACTTTACAGGTCACATAGATCTTCATATCTGGGTTGCATTTTATTCTCTGTTGCTGTTGTTATTTTTCTTTTTCCAAACATTTACAATGTAAAAGTCATTGTTCTGGGACCATACAAAAAGAGATAGAGGAGAGGACCATAGTTGCAAACCCCTGCCTTTAGGGTCAGACCTGGATCCCTGTCCCACTGTGCTGATAGCCATGTATGATCTTAGGCAAGTCCCTCCTCTTCTTAACCTCATCTATATATTGGGGATAATAACTATAGGATTCCTGTGTGGAAGAAATGATTTAGCCAAGTACTTGACTGTGAAGTAAATGCTTGATAAATTATAACTGTGCTATTATTATCACATCATCATCATCATCATCTTGATGTGAGTGAGGAGATGATCAGAAAAGTAGGGGCTTTGGAATTAGGAAATCTAGATTTCATTTCTGGCTTTGTCACTTGCTGACAAACTGCAGTTTCTCAGGTTAGTCTCAATTCTTTTAATAGCAGTGTTTATTAAGAGACCAAGATAGTATTTTTTAAAAATCAAATAGGGACTTTGAATTACCTGGACATTATTTGCTCTTAGCCAGTATCATTAACTTTATCTAACTTTTGGGCTGAAAGAGAAAAATATGATTCCTTTTTTTTCTTTTCTTTTTCTTGAGACTGTATCTCACTAAGCAGTTCAGGATGGCCTTGAACTCACTGTGTAGCTCAGGCTGGCCTTGAACTCTCAGTGATCTTCCTGCCTCAGCCTCCCAAAGTGCTGGAATCTCAGGCGTGCACCACCATGCCTGGCAAGATACAGGATTACTGATTGCATTTCCTTAACTTTCTAATTTAATAGGAAGTGATAGAGGAGCTCAGTGTTAGTGTTCTTTGAAGGAGAAACAAGGGTGTCTCATGCAGTATAAAGTGTGAGAGTTGCCCTGGGAGTCAATCTGAGATTGAGTTGGCATTCTGTACTCTGTGCTGTTTTCTCAATGTGTGCAATGGGGGCTGTGGACTGAATAGCCTCTAAACTAACTCCCAAGCCCAGTTCGCAACTACATAGGACTGGGCCAAAGTATTTTCAGTACCACAAAAATTGAAGTTTTCTGATCCTAATTACTGTCTTTCACCTTTTCTTGCTGACTCTCCCACTGTCGTAGGTAGTGTGCTACTATATTAAGACCTTTATTTTTCATTGTGACTTCTCAGTGAAAAGAGAATGCCTACACTTCCATGATTCAACCTGCTGGTGATCTGATTCTTGTGGTGTCAGGTTAGCTACTTAACTCCTGGGAAAATGCTATTTAAAATGAGCCTTAGTTTTATCTTTTTGAGAAGCTAGGATAATTTTTTAAAATCGCTACTGTGGTCAGTTTCTCGACTGTAATATAGACTAATTGCTCCAATTACAAACATGACCTCAAAATACCCACATGGTTTGTTCATTGGCCTAGCTTTCTTAAGACACTTAAAAGTGAGTCACTGTTAGTAAAAATTGTTGAGTTAGTGAATTAAATCCAAAAAGTGATCACTCCCATTGTGGTGTTTATAGATAGTATAAAAAGCAAAAGTTGGAAGACTCTTTGCTTTGCCTTAAGCTTAGGGAATCCAGGATCCTAGGCTTAACCAATGTGATTCAGCAATAGGCATTTCTTATAGGTCTGTGCGTATGGGATATGACGACAACTTCAGGTATGAGCCGTAGTCCTTGGCCATAGAGCACTTACAGTCTAGTGATTTAATAGATAGCTTATTGAGCTTTACCATGTGTTAGATTTTGTGATAGGCCCTTTACAAGTATTTCATTTAAACCTCATAATAACTCTGTGAAATGGACACTATTACCTTTCCCATTTTTCAGATGAGGAAATTGGGGCTCAGAGAGGTTAAATGACTTACCTGAAGTCACATAACTTGTGCTTAGCCAAGTCAGTATGATTCAAAAGCTCTGTTCTGTAAGCCCCTAACCCACATTGCCTCTCATTGACAAGATAAAACTTAACTGTAAAGACAGTGTGGAGTAGTGTTATCATCACTGCATACTAGGAAACAGGTTCCATTAAGAGGTTATTTGGACTCGAACTTGATGAAGCCAGGATTTATTTGTCTGACTTCTAAACCTATGCTTTTGCTCTTGCATTGTGCTGTACTCAATTTCAAGATACCAAATATGTAAGAAGATAATACTTAAAGCTGTAAGGGTTTTGAAGGTGCATAGTGAGGAAAGGCTGTGAGGGGCCCCCAGAGAGTAGTAGTTCATCTTAATGTGAGTGAGGAGATGATCAGAAAAGTAGGGGCTTTGGAATTAGGAAATCTCGATTTCAATTCTGGCTTTGTCACTTGATGACAAGTAATTTTGGGTAAGTCATTTATCTCCAGTCTAAAGATGAGGAAACAATGAGAAATGTATACATCTTTGTCAGGAGATTACAGCCAAATAAGTTTTTTTCCCTTCCTACTTTCCTTCATTCCTTCATTCCTTCCATCCTTCCTTCTTGTTTTCTTTTCTTCCTTCCTCCTTTCCTTTCATTTTTTCTTTTCAGAAACAGGATGAGAATTGGTTTGAAGTCCTAGGTGAAAGGTTCCCTTGGGAAAGAGGGTTTATCTTTTTCGAGAGAGTTTAAGAGAAATGAGCTTCTATACTGATATGGGTAGGTTTGGAATGGAGGCAGACTGTGTCAGATGGCCCCCAGCTTCTCAGAAAAGTAGGCAGGGGGGCTGAGGACTTGACAAGGAGGTTAAAGTTTGCGAATGTGCTCACAGTCAATGAGATGAATAAATGCACATCACACTAACAGGTCAGCAAAAGCCTTGGCTTTCTTGGCTATCTTGAAATTGAATTAGCTTTTGCTAGAGAACTTAACAGCATTCTTCAAGCAAGTCATGAATGTTTTATTTATACACAATGCACCAGTGCTTCTTAATCTCAACTTTTTTTTTCAGTGATGTTCCTTCCACATTTTTGAGTATCAGAGGCTTCAGGTGTGATAGGCAAGAAGCAGGGGCTGGAGTCCCTGGGGAAAACCAGTTTCTGCTAACTGGGAAAAACATACGAAGGTGGGGCCTTGGGTAATGCTGAGTTCCTTATCACTCACTGGGAGAGTTTCCTAAGCAAGTAGGTCATGAATGTGTACTTAGGCAGGTAGGCTTCTCCTTTTTGTGAAATACACCTCTTTGTATTTGTCTTCTTTGTTGCCTGTTAGTGGCAATTTTAAAATTCATAGTATCAATATTGTTTGTGTCTCTGTATATGTGGGCGGCTAGAGGTTTCTGCTTTATCTTTCTAACAAAGCACTCTTTTTGTGTCCTTTCTCCCTACTGAGAATTGCTTTCTTACCATGGTTGAGGTTTGACCTTTTACAGAACCCATAGTTCCTTGATCTGTTAACTTTGCTTCATAGAAATTCTAATTTTTCAGTTGCCAGATACCATAATAGAAGGATCTTGACTTTTTTCAACCTAAGTAATTATTCTCCATACTACTGTTTTATCTGCCAACGTGTGTGTGTGTGTGTGTGTGTGTGTGTGTGTGTGTGTGTGTGTGTGTTTCCAGTCTGCCCAAGTGCTGAACCCTTGTGGGGCTCCCAGTTGGGTTTCAGTAGAGGATCCCCCACGCAGAAACCTAGTGGGTGCCTTTCCTTGCATAGTTGAACTTAGGGCCGTGGGAAAAATGCATGCTGCTGTTATTAATATTTGGAGCAGTTAATCTGTGATTTTTACTTCTGAATATAAAGGAGTAACTTTTACTGAGCCTTTTCATTAGGAAGATTTGTGGGATGGTAAAGAAAAGAACTGTTTCTATGTCTTATCTGTGGAATGACTATAGGGATCCATAGCCTTTTTTCTCCCAGGTTATATGTGTCAAGCACAGTTGATACCCAGCAGTAACATTTTAATTTGGGTAGAAGAGATACAATGTTTCAGGAATGACTCATTTATTTTATTTGCTAACTTTGGCTAAACTTTTTCAAATTGGCGTCATTTATTGGTCAGCAATTCATCATTGCTACTTACTTCAAACACGTGAGGCTCTTAAGTTGACTGGAAGGATCTCTCATTCCCCACTACCCTCTTTCCCAGCCTGTTTGTTTCTACTTCATTCCTGCTGAAACTGTCTTTAGCAGTCACTCTTGCCCTCCTTGTTCCAGACCTGATACATCTCGGTGCCTGCCTTACATAGACTTTGTTACAATGTTCTATTCGTTTGTATCTCTTTCTCAGCAGTGAATCTGCCCTCTCTTCCCGAATTTGTCACCACCACCCATTCCTCTTTTTCATACTCTTGTGGCTTTTTCTCCTTAGATTCGTTCACTCATTCCTCTTCCTCTACCAGCACCTCAGTGTTGGCTATTCATGGATGAAACCCCAGGCTTATATTGGCAGTCTTCGTCCCATTTTCTTCACTCCCAGGTGATCTTATCTGCACCTGAAAGCCACTAATTTATGACTGGCAAGTGGATATCTGCATTTGCGACACCCCCATCTCCATACCTCATATGCTCAGCTGTGCATTTGTCACAGGTGCATCAACTCAGGACGTCTGAGACTGACCTTAGCCTTTCCCTCTGTAATTCTCTTCAGCCTATTTCTACTTCATTGAATGGTTCCGCTGTCCAACCTAGCTGCTCAGGCCAACTTAGCCACCTGGTTACCAGGCCATTAGGCTCCTCTTAGCCTTAGTCCTTTATCTCACTTTCCTCCAGTCTGTCCCCCTCAGTCACCAATCTTTCTAAAGTGTGCCTTTATGCTGGGCATGGTGGCACAAGCCTGTAATCCCAGCACTCGGGAGGCTGAGGCAGGAGGATCACTGTGAGTTCGAGACCAGCCTGGGCTACATAGTGAGTTCCAGATCAGTCTCAATTACATAGTGAGACCCTGTCTCAAAAAAAAAAAAGTGTACCTTTAAAACTCCTCTCATGTAAAGGTACAAGATCCCAGTAATGAATGTAACTGTACCGTATACCTAGAATGTACCAATAAACTAAAAAAAAAAAAGGTGTACCTTTAAAACTCCTCTCTGCCAGTCACTCCTTTCGTAGATTAGGGACTGGAGCTCTTATGGCCTGCGTGACTGCAGTGGCCATCTAGCCAGCCTTTTGGATCCTCTATAGTCTAGGTCTGTCTTTCTAAAATAAACATCTGATGTCAAGCCTTCCCTTAGAACCTTTGTATGGCTTCATTTTGCTTTGGGAATGAACTACAAACTCCCCTTCCCAATATACACAATAGTTTGTTTTGATTTAATGTCTATGGATCTTTCGAGCTTTCCCTCTTATTACCTCATCAGTCAGCCCTAATAAACTATTTGTGATCCCTCAGTGGGCCATGTTTGTTCCTTCTTTTATAACTGCATATAGACTACCATTTCCCTATCTGGAATATACCTTTTCTTCTATTTTGTTACCTGTTCGGGTGCTACCTCTGGAAAGACTTCTCTAATGCCCCACTCCCTCATCCCGTTCAGGTGTCTCCTTTCAGTTTTTATGACACCTTGTATTACATTTTATTATGATTATTCCATCAGTTTTTGCTAACTGGACTGACCTCCCCAAAGGAGAGTCTTTGTTTTCATCTCTAAACCGAGAGGTCCTACATAGCACATTCATATTTTTTTTAATACTAGAGATTGAACCAAGAGTCTTTACACTGAGCTACGTTCCCTACCCTTTTTTTAAAATTTTGAGACAGGCAGAGTCTCACTAAGTTGCTAAGTTGCCCAGGCTAGGCTCGAAATTGCAACCCTCCTGCCTCAGCCTCCCAGTATGTTGGGATTATAGGAATGTGCCATCATGCCTGGCTTTCATTCCCATTTTAAAAAGAATTGCTGATGGGTCATACTGAGAGGCCACATGAGGGCGAAGTATAGCCAGTAGTGACATATTGTGCATCTTGGCATTAAATAATTTTTTTAGAGGGTTGGGTTCAGTTTGGGTTAAGGTATACCCATACAATGGAATGTTATTTGGCCACAAAAATGAATGAAGTTCAAATGCATACTACCACGTAGGTAGGTTTTAAAAACATTGCATTAAGTGAAAGAAGCCAGAACCAAAAGGCCATTTACATGAAATGTCCAAAATAGGTGAAACCACAGAGAAAGAAAGTATATTAATGTTTGTCAAGAGCTAGTGATTTGGGGATGGGGAAATAGGGAGTATTCTATCTTTGGAGTGGAAAAAAGTGTTCTGGAAATGGTGTCGATTGATATTCAACTTTGTGACTATCTTAAAGATCACTGAATTGTACAGTGTAAAAGGATAAACTTTATACAGCGGCGCCTCAATTCAAAAGCTTAATTAGTTCTATGATTTTAGAAAAGATGGCCATGTTTGTGTTTGTAGGAAAGATGGCTGTGATCATTTTTGTCACCCGATGCAGAGTTTGTAAACAAAAAATTTTGTCAAATGCTTCTGTTTGAGAACCAAATTGTTTGTATACAAAAGCGTTCGTGAACCAAGATACCACTGTAGTATGGGAATTATATTTCAATAAAGCTGTTTAAAATTTAAATGTGACCTTTTAGTAGTAGCAGAATTTAATCAATCTACAAATAATATATTGACTTTCCAATTTGTTAAATGTATGTTATTTGGCCAGCTATGTGCTTTGGGAATAAACTTGGGAAGCATATGCATTTAAGTCTTGTAAATTGATGGATGGAGATTAAAAAACACATTTCTAACATGATTATACTGAGAGATTCAGACCTTTTGGAGCATATTCTGGGTACAGGTGATTTGAAGGCATTTTCTCATTTTGTTGCTGTTCTCATCATTTATTTATGTATTGATTTAGAAAATAATGATGTGTGCTATTACTATAGGGCATGTTTTCCCCTCCTGATCCATTGGATTAATGAAGATTGGGCTCTTGGATGTGCGAATCTAGTAGTATAGTACTTTTTAAAATGGTAACTGTATTTGGTCTACAAAATTGCTTCTGAGCCACAGAGGCCTGTTGATGGAGATTTTCTGTGTCACCCCAGGGTATGAGGTGTGAACACAGGGTCTCTGTCTACAGGAAAGGCTTACATTGTTCTTTTATTCCCAGGTCTCTTGGTGGGCCTTGTGCTTCGGTACGGCATTCATGTTCCAAGTGATGTGAATAATGTGACCCTGAGCTGTGAAGTGCAGTCCAGCCCAACTACCTTGTTGGTAAACGTTAGTGGGAAATTTTATGAGTATACACTGAAAGGAGAGATCAGCTCACATGAACTCAATAATGTCCAAGATAATGAAATGCTTAGGAAGGTAAGTTTTTGGTTAAAGGGAATTTTTGTTTCCTTAAGCGTGTAATGAGCAGCAAAGTGATTTTGAAGAAAAATAATGACTTTTTAGGATTTGAAATGGTTTGTCTTTTAAAATGAGTATTAAACCTCAGGTAATAACTGTACCTAATGTAAGGAAATAGATATTTCTAGAAATTGTATTTTCCAGTTGAGGCTAAATGCTATAAACCCTTTTATGTTTCCCTGTTTGTTTACAATTATAATAAATAATGACCAAGATTGAGTTAAGTAGAATGTATAAGCATTTTTTACAGTGCTTATAATCTTTAGAGTTTTAGAGCATTTTCAGCTCATTGGGTTTATTTGAAATTACCTAAAATATTCCATTAGTATTTCTTTCTTTTTATTTTATTTTTGGTACCGGGGATCAAACTCAGGACCTTGCGCTTGCGAGTCAGGCGGCGGAACCCCTGAGCTAAATCCCCAGCCCCGTTAATATTTCCTTGAGTTCTTTCTCACCTTGGGTTTTATGCAGAGCACAATTTATCCTTTCTTTGGTTCCTAATCTAGCATAACTTCGGGGGTGTTTGCCTGAACCTCAGTTGTCATACGTAAGGGTTTATGTAGGCAGGTGGTTTGCAGTCCTACTGGCCCTTGAACATTCCTGCCTTGTTTCTCTCGTGAAGCTTCTGTTTTTACCCTCCCTTGGCCATTTGCCTCTATGGTACTTCTGTCTTCTACATCAGTAGGACTCGACTTTTAGAGCTACTTGATTATATTCCTGATCACCTTTAATGCTTTTCAAATTTCCCGTGAACTGAATTTATTTTGCAGTGAGCTCTGACCACCTTTGGAAAATTCTGGTTACTTTAAAGTTCTGGCAGGGGCCAGGGATTTAGCTCAGCGGTTCGGTGGCCTGCCTTGCAAGTGCAAGGACCCGAGTTCGATCCCCGGTACCAAAAATAAAATAAAATAAAATAAAGTTCTGGCAAACTAAGTTTCTGCATGTGTATGTATTGCTTGTGGCTTTGTGTCCGTATCAAATTCTTTTGTAGCTTTATGAACCGCATCATTAAAGTGAATAGGTTTTTAAATGAGTGGGCTGTAGGGACTAGAAGTCAGAGTTGTACAGAATGTTTTAATGTAATATTACGTTGTGTAGTTTTAGAGATTTTATCTGTATAACAAATTATCTCTGATTGTTGCCAAGTTTCCCCTGAATTCTGTGTTACCAGTTTTGGGTCTCTCTCTTCCTTCTTGTCTTTCCTGTCTGGTCCTGTCCTGTCCTTCCCCTCTGCTGCTTCTTTCCTTCTCCCTCCAGTACTAATCTTTGAACTCAAGACCTTCTTGCTGAGTCACTGAGTTGTCTGGGCTAGGCTTAAACTTTCAATCTTCTTGCCTCAGCCTACCAGAGTGCTGGGGTGACAGGCAATCACCACCCCACCCAGCTTGGGTCTCTTTTGCTTAAAGCCAGAATGCGTTCACATTTTCTCCTATTTTAAATATTTTAATGTAATATTTTAACATGATTTTCACAGAAATGGCTTAACTCATTTAACACTTAACACTATCTCTGTGTCATGTGCTTGAGAAGTAGAACAAAAGCTCTCCCATGTGAAATCTTTTACAGGAGGAAACACAAAATTTATTATATGCCTATGGCAGAGAAGTATTAGACCTCTTTCTATGAAAGATTTTTAAGTTATTGCAGTAATGTTTTTACCATGGGCTACTTTAACATTTACTCTTTTTTTTTTCTTTTTGATAATGTGATAATGTGGATGAGGTCTTCTAAGGAAATTAATCTATAGAACTCTTTATTTTAACAGGTTACTTTTGATCCAGAAGTATTTTTCAACATATTACTTCCTCCTATCATATTTTATGCAGGTTATAGTCTGAAAAGGGTAAGTGCTTTTGCATTTTCCGTATTTTGAATAGCCTTAAACTTTCCATGGGTTGTTATATATTTGACCCTCTAAAAACAATTCATTTCTTTCCAGGATCTCCTTCCTTTTCCTAATTTTTTTTTAACATACTGAAATTTTTATTTATATGAGAATGCTTTCTCTTACTGATTTCTTTTAGTAGTAAATAATGGGTTTCATATTGGCATAGCACACTGGAATAGAGAATTCTGTCAAACATTTGGTAAGCTATCACAGTGTGATTTTTTTTTCCCCCCACCAGAGACATTTCTTCCGGAACCTTGGGTCTATCCTAGCATATGCTTTTCTTGGAACAGCAATTTCTTGTTTTGTTATTGGGTAAGCATTTGAAGCTTAACCTATTTTTAGCTTTCAAATTATAATTCTAAAATGATACATTTTTGCTTATGTGGTTTTGTATTCCTGAATGTGGCTGTAGACTTTTACTGTAAAATGCATTTACATAGGTAATGATGTTGTTTTAATTATCCTTTGGGCTACAATATAAACCATATTTAACTGCTATGGATTAAATTTGGGATTAATCACACAGTACTATAGTAGACCCATTTTTTGGGGGATGTGGGTGTACTGAGGATGGAACCCAGGCTTAGTTATATATTGACACTCGTGGCCCTCGATCCATCTTCTTATTCTTAATTTATTCTAACTCCTTTACCAGTTGACATTTTTTTCTAAAGTAAGAATATGTTTATTGAACAGGTCAATAATGTATGGCTGTGTCACACTGATGAAAGTGACTGGGCAACTTGCAGGAGATTTTTACTTTACAGATTGCCTGCTATTTGGTGCCATCGTATCAGCAACAGACCCAGGTATGTTTTACAAAAGGACCTGGAATACTTTTCCAGCAAAAGCACATACGAGTGTTCTCTGAGGTATAGAATTCATGATTAGGGACTTCCCCATGCTGTGCTTTCCAATTGTGGCGGCTAAAACAGTTATGATTCCTTTTGGCTTGAAACGTTCCCACTGGCTTGAATTGCTCTTGGTACAGGTGTAACAGTCCTGTGTGTACTGCTGGTGGTTGAAGCCTCCTGGCAGCGAGACATATGAATTACAGCCCTGATGTGAATGTGTTGAGCATTCATTTTATGTTTTTCTTTTGCTTCTTTATTACATTTGCCTCTTACTGGTCCACAAGTTCATGCTGTCTAGACGAGATCGATAAGATATTTTATTCAAAAATTTAGGTTGGTCTCCCTAGTGATTGGACAAAGGTCAAGATAAGCTAGGTTACAGATTTGTTAAAATAAGTCTTAATTATATACTTCCTTTTAAACTATTAAAAAACCAGTTCCCTAAAACTCTTTTGTTTATATTCAGCTATTTGCATCTAATAATAAGAAAAGAAGTTTTTGTTTTTGTTTTGTTTTGTTTTTGGTACTGGGAATCAAATTTAGGACTTCACACTTGCTAGACAGGCACTGTGCCACTGAGCTACATCCCCAGCCCAGAAAAGAAGCTTTTGAATGATTGTTATAAGGCAACTCTGTTTATACAGGCATGATTTTGGGTTATTGGTGGTCTTTAGTATACATTAAATAATTATTTTTTATAAATTGACATTATGGTTACAATATTATTTTGGTAGTAGCACAGATTGCTCTCCTGTAATTTTAGTGTCAAGCCTCTGTAAATTGTGTTATAGAATAAATTTAATTGTATTGAGTAAGGTTTTAGTTTTTCTAGTTTAGTAATGGTAAGCTAAATAGCTATATATAAGTGAGGAATTTGGAGAAAAATGTAGGATGAAGAGTTCCGGAACCACAACAGAGACTAAAGAGTTTTTGTTTTGATTTGTATTTGTTTGTTTGTTGCCTCCAGTCAAATCCAGGACCTTGCATATCTAGGCAAGCACTGACCTACACCCCCACCCCCTGGACCTAAGTTTTTGAAGTAAAGATAAGCTTTTTTAGTATGACTGGGACTTTGGCAGAGATTTGTTCTGTTTTACCTTTTGACCTTGTAAGTTAATCATCTTCTTTAATTGTCATCCACAGAGTTAAAAGTAGGATTTTAAGATTATCTCTGAATTCCTGTGTTAACGCTGATAACGCATGGCATTATGGGAAGGGGAAAATATGTTAGGACTGTGTCAGAGATGATTTAAAAAGATTACTCAGCCATTAGTGTAGTTTAGCATTTTTAGGACTAGAAATCAAGTGGCTTCCTTAAAGACCACTAAGGCTTTCCCCTTGCTGCTTCTAGCTGCCCCCATTATCAGTATGAAAGTTGGAGGGGAATTTTTGGGAGCAGCCAGCAGTCTCTGGTTTTTGTGTTCTCTCCCAAGAAGTAAGCTCCTCAATTTCTCAGTGTGTGAGAAATCTTTAGACTGTCTGCCTTGCTATAACCTTGTAGTTTTGTTGTAGAAATATTGTCTGAACAGCACAAGCAGAAATCTTTTGTTTATATCAACTTGGAGAGTAGTTTTTCTAAATTATGTAGGTACTTGCTCTAATTCTACTATTTTGCAGTTGTTAACTTTTCAGGAGTGTGAGCTATAGGTTTTCTTTTTCTTATTCTGCAGCTTTGCTTCACTGTTCTTCTCTTTCTCTTGATAAGATGTAATATCAGTGTATTCCAGCTGCAGTGCTTTCCAGTGGAAATTATGTCTTTTAAAATGCAAGTTTCCTGTTTTCATGGTTGGCATTTGAAAAACAACTCTTCCATCTCTGGGTATATTAATCTTTCATGTCTGCTTGGCTTTATTTAGTGGGTGAGCTGTGTGTGACTCAGCAATTAAAGTTATAATGCAACTTCTCGATCTTATCTGATTTTTTACGAATTCCAATATAATTGCCTCTGTAAAAGAAGAGTTTGTTCTTTTGGTTCTTTTTCCTTCTCAACCTGTAATATCCTGGTAGTTAAATTCTTCAGTTAAATATGGCAGCTGTAATTCTGCTCATAATTTTTACTCTAACCCCAAAACTAAACTTGTATTTTCATTTCCTACTGGCTTTGCTAAACCAGTGTGTTTGCAAGTCAAATACAAGTGAGTTGTAAGGCTCTAAGGAAAAGGAGTTTGAAGCAGAAGATACTTTTTCCTTCCCCTTCCCTTCCCTCGCCCCCTCCCCCCTTTCCCTTCTGACAGGCTGTTTTGTAGTCCATGCTGGCCTTGAACTCACTATGTAGCCCAGGCATGTACCACCACACCTGGCTGAAGTAGAAGATGCTTTCCATATTATTCTTCATTAAAGATTAAGGATTAGCTGATCTGTAAGAAATTCTAAATGTATTCTTTTTAAAATTTTTTTTTGTTTTTATTGAGTTTATTGGTACATTCTAGGGATACAGTACAGTTACATTCATTGTTGGGATCTTGTACCTTTACATGACAGGTCTTGGTTCTCATTTTATCCCCTTGTCCCTGCCCTCCCTTCACCCCCTCCTCCCCTCCCCACTTACACTTTATTTCCATTTTTTTCATTTTCTCCTATTTTTTTCTTTGCTCTTATTTCCTTTCCCCTACCCTTCCCACTTTTCCTACACCTTTAGCCCTTTTCTTCCTATTTCACGTTGTTAATTATCTTGTTAGGATCTTGTATACTATTGTAGTTTTTCACACCAGAGAAACTATTTGGTATTTACACATGTGTCACTTATTTATTTCACTTAGGAGTATATCCTCAAAATGTATCAATTTTCCTATGAATGACTCTAATTTCTCATTCTTTATAGCCATAAATGTATTCTTTAGGGGGAAAAATGTAGAAAACCAGTTCATTAAAGTTTTCATGAAGAATCTATGCCAGCTTAGTCCTACAAGCTTATTTTCAATTGTTTTTAAGAGAGAAAGGAGAAATTGCATGTATGTAATTAGGGGGAAAATATTGACGTAAAATCACCGAATCTTTAATATGATGAAAGAATATTAAAGCAGTAGTAATTAATTTCTAAATACCTCTTACAATCAGTTTTCGAAGGGAATATGTTATATTTGTAATGTCTTAACTATTCCTTTGACTCTGTCTACTTGCTAGTGACCGTTCTTGCCATATTCCACGAGCTTCAAGTTGATGTTGAACTCTATGCACTTCTTTTTGGAGAAAGTGTCCTCAATGATGCTGTTGCCATAGTGCTGTCCTCGTAAGTGTTTTCTTATTATGTTCTGAATGGTACAAGTAAGGGTGCTAGGGACTGAAAGTTACTCATTGAATAAAACACATTGTGAATAGAAATATTTGGAAGGCTAAAGCTTATTTTCTTCTTGCAGAAATACATACTTTAATGGAAAATTCAGGGAAGAAAAAAATAATAAGTATCTCATCTCAAAATAATTTCTCTAAACATTCTAGGACATTTTCTTTTACTTTCTTTTTTATGTGTATGATATTTCTACACAACAGTAATTGTAATGGATATCAAATTGCATAATCTCTTTTAACATTACATCATGACCACTTTACTAGATTAATTTTTGAGTAGATAATATATTCATGTGGTTCCAAAATTAAGACTGTATAATTAACATTTATACGTAAAAATTACTTTCTTACTCTTGTCCTCATCTGTCTCTCCAGCACCTTAGAGCTAATCATTTTTATTAGTTTCTTATGTAGCTTAGTGTTTATTAAGATGCAAGTACAAATATAAATAAATACTCTTATTTGCCTCTCATTTTTTTGTGGGGTTGGAGATTAAACTCAAGGCCTCACATATGCTAGACAAGTGTTGTACTACTAAACTACATCCATAGCCCCTCATTTCTTACTTTGAAAATACAACACAATCTATACTATCTATATGTATGTATGTATATACAATATATGTATATATACAGTATATATATATGAGAGCATAAACATTCTGGTGATATTTCTACATCAAAAGCTTGTAGTATTCTGTACTACATACTGTGTAATACCCTATGTATAAACTGGACAAGAGTTTTGCTCATTCTGTTATACTGGACCCTTGAACAGGTTTCAGCCCCTTGCTCTCCCAAATGATGTTAAGGTGATTAACCTTCAGCTTTAATTTTGTAATGCATAAGTATGTGGTAGGCTAAATTCTCAGAAGTAGTATTGGTGGTTGGTTTAATGTAAACACACTTGTAATTGTGTTAAATCTTGCTAAGTTGCCCGGGATTGTACCACTTTGTCCTTTAGCCACTGAATTATGGGAAAGTCTGTTTCTTCACAGCTTCACCACTGGGATAATTGTCAAATTTTAATATTTTTGCCACCTTGATACTTTATATTTAGAATTGTTAAATGATATATCTTCATTGAAGACAGTTACTGAGTAATACCTTTTATCTAAATATAAAAATTACGCATTATTACGAGGTGTTTGCAGGTGGAATTATGGGTCTAAACCACTTAGGAGCTGAATTTTGCCTACTCACTCTTACTAAGCAAATGTCTAACCCTATAGAAAGTTGATTTTACTTCGTACCAGAATTTTCTATAAAAGAGAAGAGCCCTTCTCATTTTCACTTTATTTTATTACTCTCCTTATTTCACTTTGTTACCCAAAAAAGAAGAGTAAATCACTGACCAGATTACATAGCTTGATTATCCCTGTGGCCTTACTGCAAAGTGGGAAGTTGTCCTTTCTGAGATACAACACGAATCCCTTAGATGTCACGTATCATAATATAAAATAGGTCAAATCCATTTTTGTGACTGGAGTTTACATGAATGTTACCTCTTCTGCCCTGTATTCATTTCCAGAACTTTTTTTCAGCTATCTATAACTAAGCTAATATTGACAGTGAACATAAGTACCTTCAGTGAAGATAGATACACAATAAAAATTGTATATTATATGAAGGAAGGAACAGATACTGTATTCGTAAATCATGTGTCAGAAAGTTACAGTCCATCGGTACATGTGCGATCACCAGCACTAGTGAGTAAAAAGAGTACATTACAGGCAGTTACTCTTAGAATCAATTCTCCATTGTAGGCAATTTATTGTTTAATCATCTTACTAATTAGTCAGAAAAATCTGTTTTCTTCTGGTCCTAACTTAAACTGATGTGCACTGTGCCTTAGTTTTTCCATGGATAAAAGTAACCTACTTCTTGCCCTTTAGGAACAGTTGATTAGTGTTAAAGAAAAAACACCTCATTGAGAGATTTTGAGCTTGGTGATATGCATATCAATGTTGAAGAATAAATGTATTAAGAAGAGAAAGCCTTTCCCATAGCACTTGTCTCAAGGGGCCAGCCTCGTCATATTACTGTAGTTTCTTTTAAAACAGGATTCTGTGATAGAATGAATGCTCATAGAAAACAACTTGAGAGATTCATTCCTTAATTCTCGTAGGCATGGTACATAGCTAGTACCACTTTGACTTGGGAGGAGATAAATTACCTCATTACACGCTATGGTGGAACCCTTGTGGAGAAGGTCCATATCTAGAGAGTTGTTATTAGCAGGCCAATTGTTAGATATGTAAGTGTCTTAATGGAGTTGAGCAAATGAGTTCCTGCCCAAAGGAAACCAGTTGTGTGTGAGTTACTAGTAATGTTCAGAGGTATGAAGATCATATAGTCTTTCATTTGCTTTTGATACGTTTTCAAGTATGTTAGATATAGTCTACCTTGTGTTGCATTCTCTCATATGGCATTCTCTTAGTTTGATGATTGTCTACTGTATATATTATGTGTAAGTCTTGAATCAAAAGCGTGGGTACCACTTTCCCAAGGAATTCTGTTTGGTGATCAAAGGTTAAAGCAGCCCTTATTGAAATTTATGTTGGAGGTGGGTTTTGGTGTTTTTTTTTTCTTTTTTTAGAATTAGTATGTTTGTGATACATAATAAATCTGTATCTTATTTATTTCACTTAGCATTATGGTCTCAAGGTGCACCCATTTTCCTTTAAATGACTGAAATTTATCCTTTATGGCTAAGTAGTAATCCATTGTGTATATATGCTACATTTTCTTTATCCATTCATCTGTTGATGGCCATATAGGCTACTTCCAAGATTTGGCTATTATGAATTGTGCTTTATAAACATGGAGATGGTTTTTTTTGTTTTTGTTTTTGTTTTTTGGTACTGGGGATTGAACTCTGCTCCTTGCACTTGCAAGGCAGGTGGTGGAACCACTGAGCTAAATTCCCAGCTCATGGAGATGGTTTTTATTTGTCTCTTTGTTTTTGTTTTGTTTTGTTTTGGTTTGGTTTTTTTTTTCTGAGATAAGATCTCACTATGTGGAACTCACTATGTAGCCCAGGCTGGTCTCAAACTCACAGCGATCTTCCTGCCTCAGCTTCCCAAATGCTGGGATTACAGGCATGTGCTGTCACGCCCGACTCTTTCTGTTTTTTGAACCCTTTTTTTGTTTTGTTTTGTTTTTCAGACAAGGTCTTGCTGTGTAGTTCAGGCTGGTATTGCTCACTATGTAGCCTGGGCTGGCCTCAGCCTCCTGGGTGCTGGGATTACAGGTGTGTGCCACCACACTCACCTTTTTTGAACCTATTATATGAGAAGTCATTTAAAAAAATATTACTGGTTTTAACCTGGTTCCCTTATATATTGCTATACGAGCTAGATCTATATATGCTGAACACAGTATGGAATACTAGCTAGTTAAAGATGCAACATATTCCACTGACTGGATATAACATAATTAGCCTGGAAATCTAAATTCACACTATTTTAAAATATGTTTTGTGCATTCATTAATATTTTATAAAAGCAGAAGTACAGTGAGTAAATAAGCATGACTATTTAACTCCACTAGTTACCAGAAGTATATACTTAAAAGTAAGTGGTCATTTTCACTTGTTCACTTAATAAGACAAAGTTGTTAATGATAATAGTTTCTGTTGGTAGTGTAATAGTGCTGTCATTCTTAATGGTGTAGTTCCACCATCCCTACCCTCACCGTTGGGGATGTTTGACAATGTCTACTGACATTTTGGTTGTTTTGCGTGGGAGTGATTTGCCATTGATGTCTAGTATGTAATGCATAGTACAATATCCCTCCCCTGACAAATAGCTAGCTACCTGGCCCTAAATATCAATAATTCTAGAGTTGAGAAACTTTGGTATAGTGAAACGAGACCACTCGTTGTTAACATTAAAATTAGTATCCTCCTTTATAATTTATGACAATAAAATTAATACATGCTTATGATAAGAATTCAAAGTATTTGCATTTTTTTTTTGGTTTTTTGAGACAGGGTCTCACTATGTAGTTGAGACGGACCTGGAACTCACTATGTAGCACAGGCTGGTCTCCAGCTCTCAGTGATCTTTCTGCCTCAGCCTCTGAGTGCTGGGATTACAGGCGTGCACCACCATGCCCAGCAAATTCAAAGTATTTGACTTAGAAAGTAGAACATTCCTGAAATTTCAGGTCAGAGGAAACCACTGATAGAGATTTCTTCCAGACTTTTTCTCATTGAGTTTACTGATACATTTTAGGTATACAGTACAGTTACATTCATCATTGGGATCTTGTACCTTTACATTGACAGGTCTTGGTTCTCATTTTTACCCCTTGTCCTTGCTCTCCCTTCACCCACCTCTTCCCCCCATTTACAAATACTTTATTTCCATTTTTGCATTTTCTCATATTTTTTTCTATTCCCTTATTGCCTTTGCCCTACCCTTCCCACTTCCCCTACATCTTTAGCCCTTTTCTTCCTATTTCACATTGCCAGACTTTTTTTTTATTAAGATACTAATGTTCATATGAACATACTTATCTTTAAACAGAAAAGATACAGAAGTACATATATTTTCTGTAACTTGCTGTTTTCACTTGGTAATTGTACTATATTAATGCCTCTGCTATCCTACTGTATGGATGCACTACAAAATTACCTCACCAACCCCCTCCTGACTAATATTTGCTGTTTTTCCTTTTTGTTTGTTTTGTGGTACTTGAGATGGAACCCAAGGCCTTGAACATGCTAGGCAAGCACTCTACTGTTTTGCTACACCTGAGCTGAATATTTAGCATTTCTAATACCACATTATAATATCTAGCATTGCTGTGTAAATATCTTTATTCTTGAGAGTGTTTCTCTAAGATAATTTTGTTTTTGTCATTGTTTTCTAGAATACTTCTGGGAAGGTTGAGGTGCTAGGGATCAAACCTAGGGCCTTGTACATCCTAGGCAAGCATTCTACCATGTAGAATACTTTTTAAAAGATAATTTCTAGGGCTGGGATTTAGCTCAGTGGTGCTGCCACCTGCCTCAAAAATGCAAGGTTGTCAGTTTGATCCCTGGTATCCAGAGAGAGAGAGAGAGAGAGAGAGAGAGAGAGAGAGAGAGAATTTCTAGGTAAATTGATAATGATCATTTTAAGAATTGAAACCTATCATACTTCCCTCCAAATATTTAATAGAGACCTTCTTGAAAGTAGTTGAATAACATATAAAAAGAGCTACAGGTATAGTAATGTTATGTATTTCTAGGACTGTAGTGCAAAGAAATAGTTAGAAATATGTAAAAACCAAAAATTTGTTCTCAAACAGTATAAGCAACTTTAAATGTCTAACAATGAGCAGACAGTTAAACAAATCATGCTGTAACCATTTGGAACCTTTTGAAATCAAAACTGTGGTCATAGTTGAAGAAGCAGAACTGTACGTTACGATTATAATGAAATATGAAATGGTATTCATGTAACAAAAAGAGGGGAAAGCAATATGGAAGGAAAATGAGATAGAGTAGTAGAATAACAGGTGTTTTTTCCCTCTAAACTGTACATTGTGTTACTTTCACGATCTTAAAAATATTCATGAAAATGATTTCCCAAGATCAGATGTTGACTGATATGGAAAGAATGAGATGAGCTCAGATTTCATGCCAGAGGCCAGCATTTCTTCTGCAACAGAACAAAACGAACCTCTTATCAGTTCTCATCTCATCACATTTTCCATGTGATTTTAGTGATTAAATAGTAAAATAATGATTAGTGTGAATCTTGAATTTACTTGAACTAATCCAGGGAAAGCAACTTCGAGAAACATGGCATAGATATTTTATTCCAGCCAACATTTTGGAATATACTACCGGGGAGAAAGATTGTTGTGACAGTATCGTTTCTTTATCTCCAGGAAGTTGATGTATTTAAATGTTATAAAGTGTTCAAATCTCTTTTATAATGGGGTGACCTTTTATGTATAGGTAAGGCAACATGATATTAAAGGCCATTTCATATTTATCAAAATAATATCAAATCTACTGGGACCAAAATGACCTGGTTAGTTTAAACATTTAAAGATAAATAAAAGTTTCCTTTCAAATTGAGTTTCAGAAACTTCTAGATGTTACTGTCAGAGATTAATGTTAGTCCCGTACTATACTTCAATGAAATAGATACAAATTAGGAAATTTTAGTTTGGTCTTAGATTTTTTAAAAAATTAAGTTAGATTTGGGAAGTTTGAAAAGCACTTGCACATGATACGTTAAGCACATTTTTAAGCCTTGAACCAGGAAAAACAAAAAACAAAAAATTATGCAGTAGCCACAGGGAGAAGTCATTATATTCTTAGGAATGTATTTTCCCTTCTTTTTTTTTTGACATGACTTATATGATGTGTTTGAAACTGGGCTTTTTATAATGCCAGTACCTCAATAAAATGAGATGAGAACGATTTAGACTTTTTTTTTTGGTACCAGGGATTGAACTCACAACCTTGTGCTTACGAGGCAAGTGCAGTGCCACTGAGTTAAATCCCTGGCCTGGGAACTATTTAGTAACAGTGGGCACTGTTGCCAGAGACCTGGTCAAGAGCAATTTTCACAGCCAATTCTATTTCCTGGGTTGGCTATTATAAAAGAAGCATTTTCAGGCCAGGTTTAGACTGTGAGAGTTCCAGAGTGGAGCACATCCCCTGTAGTTGCCTGTCTTGGCCTGGTACAGCGTGACTTTCTTTCAGAAGTTTAGGGTGGAGAATCCAGCTTGGGTATGCTCAAAATAATTCCCTGGAAGGACTTTCAAACCCTTTTCCCATTGAAGTCCAATTTAGTGAGTGAATGGATACCAAGCATTTGGCCCACTCTTGTATTCTAAACATTAGAAAGGTCATTTAATCGTGCCACCCCCTCCATAGGAATTCCAAAATGTGACAGGGTGTAGTATTGGACAATATTTGTGTTTGTTTCTTTGTTTGTTTGTTTGAAATACTTTGTATTTCAGTCTGGCTCTGAACTCACAATGTAACCCAGGCTGGCCTTGAACTCTTGGCAATCCTCCTGCCTCAGCCTCCCAAGTTGTGGGATTACAAGTGTGCACCACCATGCCCAGCTTTTTGAACAATATTCTTATGCCTCTGCTGGATTTTGCATTCATTTGTTCTCATTAGTATGTTTGGGCTTTTGGATACTCCATGTTAGTAACTCTTCAACATGGTCGTAATAGAATAACACTGCATAGTATTGAGAATGGGCGAAAAGCTTCAGTACAGCTTTTATATAGAGACTTTTCCATGCTCTGCCTCCTGGAATTGTCACTTAAGGAAAAACTGAGTCTTCCTGCTAGCTAGATAGATTACATGATTTTTTATAACCTTTTGTCTTTATTTTGGCAATTCAAACCATAGGTTCGGGTTTTGTTTTTCTCCCTCTGATTTTATCTATCAAGTTCTATGCTAGGTTAATGGTTTTAAGGGAAAAGTGCCTCTAGAAGTAAGACTACTCTCTCTTTTGTAGCTCAATAGTAGCTTATCAACCAGCAGGAGACAACAGTCACACCTTTGATGTCACAGCCATGTTCAAGTCTATTGGGATCTTCCTTGGGATCTTCAGTGGATCTTTTGCAATGGGCGCTGCTACTGGAGTGGTGACAGCTTTGATATCCTTTTTTTTCTATTTATCCAAATGAAGTAGTTGAGTGTTGTAATTCATGGTCCCTCCTATTTTTCTTATAATTTATTATTATAACCAAGTACTTGGTCTGAAAATATGAAGCAATACACTTTTATTGTTTTGCCCTACAACTCACTGCAAGAATCTAGTTAGTCACAGAAGCCCCTTGAGGTTGAGTTGTAAGGTTGTAGATTAAATTGATATAAAGGGAGATCCAAAGAGCCTCTGAGTGTTCTGTGCTGCTGGTCAGCTTGGTAGTCTTCTCTGTTTGGGAAGACAAATAGGTCATGTATGACCACAATGGCACATGAACAGAATATAGTTCCCAGATGAGGTTGGATAGGAATTGATCCAGGCCCTCGGAAAGTTTAGCTTTTGCTCTGTAGAACCCCGGGCTGGGAGCTCAGAGGACTTGGGTTATAACCCTGATACTGCCACTAGTTAGCTGTGAGAAATACCAGGCAAGCCATTCTTATATCCATTAAAAGTCATTTCCTAATTGCCTGGAAGTGCCAGATGTTATGCTCTGTGTATCAAAGATAGACAAGACAAACGGGGGCTGGGGATTTAGCTCATCGGTTCGGTGGCCTGCCTTGCAAGCGCAAGGACCGGAGTTCAATCCCCAGAAAAAACAAAGGGTCCCTGCCTCCCCAGAGCTTCTGGTGTTGGGGCAGACACAAAACAAGGTTGATGCTTTGATACTCCACGTCTGCATCTCAATGTAGAAAAGTGGGGCGGGGAGAGTAGGGAAGTTGAGTGGTACAGTACTACCTGATCACTAAAGCAGTTCCAGTTTTAAATCTTCTAAAACAAATGCATGATTCTTTTTCAAAGATTGACCTCTCAGTTTGATATATTTTAGCTTTATGCTGGAAGAGACTTCTTTTTTTTTTTTTTCTTTTTTCTTTTTGGTACCAGGGATTGAACTTTGTTCCTTGCGCTTGCAAGGCAGGCGGCAGAACCATTGAGCTACATCCCTGGCCCTGGAAGAGACTTCTATCATGACTTTTTCTAGGCGAACTGAGACATATGTATATGCAGTAAAAGAGTTTTAAAGAAGGAGCCAGAGAGATAGTATCTCTTTAGTGCTGCAGGTTCCTTGAAGTCAAGAAGTATACCTTGCATGTCATTTTGTTGTAGTAGGTAGTTTTTGGAGTGGCTGTAGATTCCAGCCTGCAATTTATCACAACTGGTCACATACCCTTTCATTGTCAGTGAACAAATACTTTTTGAACTAATATAAGTGAATGAAATGTCTCGGTTTTTTCGTCATGGAATGAATGAATGTTCTACATTAGAGATGTGTTAGAGGATCGAATAAATGTGAAATCTCATGGAATTATGTTTTTAATAATATAAATTGCTATTATTATGGAACATGACTTGCTTTGGGTGACAAAGTTAGAGCGGCACATTGTGTATCCAATCTTGTTTTCATCTCTACCTGTCCTTTTTTTGAGGAGCAGCATTAAAGATTGGACCCAAGGTCTTTGCACTGAGCTGCATCCCCTGCCCTTTTGCTTTTTATTTTGAGACAGGGTCCAGCTAAGTTGCCCAAGTTTTTTGTTTGTGTGCTTTTTGAAATGGTATCACTATTTATTCCAGGTTGGTTTTAAACTTACTGTGTAGCCCAGGCTGGCTTCAAACTCATGGCAATCCTGCTTCAGCCTCCTGAGTGCTGGGGTTACAGGCATGTGCTACCACGCCTGGCATGGTTTTGAACTTGGGATCCCCCTTCCTCAGCCTCCCACAGTGCTGGGATTACAGGGGTGTGTTTGCAGTGCCTGGCTCTATCCTCTACTGTGTGTTTTCCAGCAAGGTAAGTGATGCCCATAAAGCAGTAGGAACAGCTAGTCTGTGAGGCTTCCTCACTGACAGGAAGACAGCTTATTCCTCAGTAAGATGCTCACTCTAAGGGTTTCTTGACACTGGTGTTTCCTCATTTTGTAACTTCTGTGGTAAGAAAGACTAGGGTGCCCTTCTCTCATTTTCTTGGTTGCCTTGCTTTGACTATTATTTTTCTAGTCACACTTCTGTATTCCAAGATTTCGTTACCAAGCTTAACAGTCTCACGTGACAAAGTTCACCAAATTGCGGGAGTTCCAGTTGCTGGAGACCGGCTTGTTTTTCCTGATGTCCTGGAGCACCTTTCTTTTGGCTGAAGCATGGGGCTTCACAGGTGGGTTACTCTTTCTTTTGGACTGTAAACCCTTACAGGGAATCACTCAGTGAGCCACTTCTTCTACAAGTAGATTAGCTCCTTTCGTATTTGAGCAAACCTGTGGTTGAGATTTAGGCTGTCACTTTAGAATGTACAAAAAAAGATTTTCAGTGGAAGCAGTTCCTCAACAAAATCAAAGTCAATGAAAATGTCTGTACTCTGCCCACAATCTACTTCTGTAAAATAAGGACCTCAGTATAAAAGATGGGAACCTCCAATGATGTGAACTTGGAATTTGTTATCTTTGTAGGTGTGGTTGCAGTATTGTTTTGTGGCATCACACAAGCGCATTATACATACAATAATTTATCCACAGAGTCTCAGCATAGGACAAAACAGGTAAGACAAACTTTATAGTTCTTGAATAAAATTTTCCTTCTCTCAGCAAAATAGAAGCTTTTTTAAACTTAAAGAATCATCTTTGGTTTGGTCAAGGTTCTGTCTAGTCTGCCTTAGACTCTAGAAATGGACGAGACTGCCAAGCGAAAGGGTGAAGGCTGGTGGACGGAGATAGGTTAGGGACACAGCTAGGGATTATTGTTCTCGTGCTTCCAGTAACCACTCTGTTAGCTTCCTCATCTCTTGCTGTTTCCTAATCTAGTGGCTTTTAAGAGGAGTGTTTGGAAGCTCACTTCTAGCTTGACTAGAGCTGCTGCTGTGTGAAGCGTGAAGCGGAGAAGATTAACTCCTAATCTGGCGAGATCTGCTGGGCCATCCAGAGAACACTAACTTCCTTCAGTTTTCACTCAGGCCCTGCAGGGCTGTTCTTTGCGGGAGACTGTCAGTGAACGGGTACTGAATGATCACTTGTGCAGGGTACTGGAAAAGAATTATGAGTGAAATAAGCATAGAATGTTCTGGCTTAGGCATCATATAGGACAGTTACATGAACAAAATGTACTATGTGGAGTAGAAATAGGTGCATGCTTGATAATGATTATGGTGAGAACTAGGAGCATTCCGTTTCGCCAGATGGTCAGGAATAGTGAGATGAGTGTAGAAAGGCCAAATTATAAAACAGGCTCAGTAGTTCCTTTTCTCTTTGTCCATAGCTGCAGATTTAGTTTAGACCTATGCTTTCCTCAACCATTCAAAAGAAATTAGACTCCATTCCTAAGCATATATATCAGGAATGCAAATCCCTTTTGCAAATCAATTTAGTATACTAAGTATAAAGAAGAAAACCAGATGGGGTTCAGGCTTCTTCTAGGTAGCAGGGCGGGACATAATACAATCCACAGGGTAAGAGTTTCCAGTCTTGGCATTGATATGAAGCTTGTGTACATAAAACAAATCCTGTGACTAATAGGACTCTTAGCTTGTGTGCTTTGGATACGCACAGGGGGGAACGGCTTGAGTTTTGAGAACCTGGATTGTTGTTATAGAGGAAGTGTTGCGCGCACAAGGATGGGAAGGATTTGGGGAGGCCTAGAGAAAAACAGGATAAAGGCAGGAATACAAAGGGGACAGTAAAGTATATAGCAGAGGTTGACCAACTATGGCTCTCAGGCCACGTCTGGTCTTGCTGGTTTAGGAGCTAAGGATTTTGTTTTGTTTTGTTTTCAGATGTTTGGGAAGAAATTAGGGGAAGAATTTTTTGTGACCTGTGAAAGCTATATGGAATTCAAACTTCAGTGTCCATTAATAAGGTTTCATTGGCACACAGCCACACTCATCTTTTAAATGTATAGCCCGTAGCTGCGTTTGTACTACACTGTCAGAGTTAAGTAGTGTGACAGAGACCCTGTGACTTGTAAGGTCTCAAATGTTTGTTCTCTGGCGCTTCATGGGAAAAGTATGCCAACCCTTGTGTTGTGGATTAAGCCAGTACTGGAGAGGCACTGTATTATCTCCGATCCTGGCTCCACTACTTGTTGGATGTGTCCGGCCATCAGTTTTTTTTTTTTTTTTTTTT